GCCTCTTCACACTTGTCTGTCCCAGTCACTGGTGTGACTGCTGGGGACAGGCAGCCCTGCCTAAGGTCCCTAAGGTCACTGCTGGCTCTGGAGGCTGCTGGGACCCTTGGCTTGCACAGGGAATGCATGGGAGGGCACTTGGGATTAGTAACTCACAATGGTTCATTATTCTGTTGCATCTTGTTGTTAAAAACACCTCAGGTTTCTTGAGACAAGTGCTGAGGTGTTAAATGAAGTTCAAGAAGCCCAGGAGGTAACAGAGCCCATGGAAGTGCTCTGTGGTGACCAGCAAGGCTTGGAGTTCACTGAAAACTCTTGTTCCAAAATGGTTCCACGTGACTTTGGCTTTGTCCCAAGAGGTTTAACTAGAGTCCTGGAATATGAATAGCAGCTGTGAGAAGGAAGAACTAGAACATTCCTTATTTAGGTAATTTCCTAATGACCTCCCAGTTCCCTAAAAATAGTGCAGGATAAAATGCTCCACCATACCAGACTGGCACTGAGCTGGGAAATGGGAGGTGCTGGATAATCTAAAACTATTGTGTCTCTCTCTGACTCTAACATCAGGGAAGCATTTCCTATTTTTAGCTTGAATTTGAAGTTGTTGAAGTGTCTTAAGATTCCTGGGTATGTAGATATTCATTATTCTGAATTGAAAGTGCACTCCAATACCTCAAACAGCAGTGGAAACCTCCACATTCCTCTAGATCAACATTTAATATGTATGGAGGGTGAAAGTAAGAAACCACAGATCTAAATCAATATGTAACATCAAAAAAAATCCATGTTTAACTTCCTTTAGCAAATTTTCCAGGTAACTTACATTGTTTACAGAATGCCTGTTGCAGGCTGAGTCTGTTCCAAGAACTCTGCTTATTCGCTCTGATCTTTTCCAGTTTGTTTCCTGCCCAGTGCTTGAGGTTTGCTTCCTGCTGGAGGATCTTCCCCCAGCTCTGTCTGGGGCTCTGCCTGCACTGCCACCCTCTCACATCATCTTTCCTTTCTGTGTGCCACCACAAGCACTGCACAATCTGGTTGTGGTTTGCTTCTCCTTCCAAGCATCACAAGTAGTGATAGCAGGGCTGGAGTGGGTCTGTGGCTGTCCCAGAAGCAGCTTTTGGTGGCAAACACTGCCCAGGGGACACTGTTCACTCTCAGCTCTGCTCAGGCTGCAGACCTTTGTCCTCTTGCTTTCCGTGTGCACCGGGGGCAATGAGCTGATGATCTCACATTTGTTAGGCACCAAAAATAACTAGGGAGCACAAACCTGCAGGACACAAAAGAATATCTGATCTGTGGGAGGAAAGTTTAAAGGCCAAAAGCAGAAAATGAAATTGGAGATGTTTGTGTGGCCACAACCTTTACACACAGCTGTGCAAAGAATGGGCCTGGCCTTGGTGGGGAAGGGTCACCTCAACAAGTGAGGAAAGACAGCAAAGTAGGGATCAGATGAAGCTGTCCTGGGGTTGAATGAGGTTTTATCACCAGCTCCAATCACCTGTAGTGTCAGCTTGGATAAGCAGTGAAACCAAGAAAGGATCTGATGCTGTCAGCATAATGCCGAGCCCTGCAAGAAATGCTCTCTGGCAGAGAAAAGTGCCCCTGCCTGGTCTGGGTGATGCCTGGGGCTCTGCAGGCTCTGGGCATAATCTGATCCCTTCAGCAGAAGGAAGACGAGTATTTAACCTATGATTCAGTATAAGAAATGTGGGTCAGCAAATATTTTGGTTTTTTTCTTCTTTTTCCTTGGCAGACCAGGGCTGACATAGGCAGTGCCCCAAAGAGTCCCCTCCCAAGGCCTGAGGGACGTGGTGGCTTCCAGTGACACCTGAGTGTGTCCTGCAGTCTGGGCCTTGGCTTCTGCTCTCCCTGGTGCAGCGTGGGGTGTGCTAGCCATGTTCTGTGTGTCTGTACTGATTCACTTGGGCTTGTTTCTTGGAAAAGCAGAATCACTGTTACCAGTGTACCTGCAACACACATCTTACCAGAACCCGTCCAGGTACATACTCATATTCATATTCACCCATCCTTTTTAATGCTCAAGCTGTACTTCTTCCTCAATTGATTTTGAGTATTCAAGAGATACCTAATTTACCTCCATTTTTCAGGAGCTTAAAGCTTTTTTATATTGGTGCTTCAGGAAACTGTGAATCCACTTTCCTTTTGCATTAACCATATTTACCTACCTCTGCAGATTTCAAACGTTTATTTTACTAACCGGGCTTATCCTGTTTTACAGGAGCTTTTAAAAAACATGTAAGGTTCCTGTTTGTTAAAAAAAAAAGATGTTTCAGCCAAACCTGAGATCCCTTCCTGGGCAGGGCATCCGTTTGGTTGGGAGGCTGTGCAGTGGTGAGGAGCTCCTGCTCCCTGCAGGGTCTGGGGCTCTGCAGTGGGTGGCTCCTGCACCAAGGGGAGATGCTGCTTTAGTTTTACTGATTTTAGTTTTATATAGCAAGATTCCTCTCTGTCTTTTTTTTTTTTTTTTTTTTTGCAACAAAGGATCAAGGTTCCTCTAGATTCAAGACGTTTAAGTAGGAAAGGTGATGTAATTTCTTTATATACAATTTTTATTTTCACTTTTGGTTTGACTCTTTCAACCCTTTCCTGTGTCTCTTCTTGGGGTTTTATGTCCCCTCATCAGGTTCCAGTACATCCTTGCTGCAAAACTGCTGTTTCAAGGTCAGGATAAACTTCTGGGTCTTTGCTGGCAAATTCCTTTTTGGCACTAGAAAGGTGAATTAGTTTCTGTTCCTGGAAGGACAGTAAGGGTTGGGTGTGCAATCCTTCACACCTGAAAGGACCTTAAACCTATTGGAACTGGGGGAAGTGGGGTGTAAACAGAGGCAGTGACTGGAGAGGACAGCCAAGCAAAGGTCAGACGTGGGAGCCTGTCCAGTGACACTGGGCTGGGCTGACAGGGTGGCCTGGAGACTTTGGAAGTAAATAAAGGTCAGCTGGATCAGCCTGCATGGGCTGGAAGGGGCTGTCAGGTCTGATGAAGGAGGCTTTATCTTGATTTTTCTGTAAATGTTTCTTCTGCCTTCAATTTAGTCCCATTTTCCCAGGCACTGCTCTGAAGGGTTCAGCTTAGGACGTGCCCTCCTGGGTCTGATTGCCTCAGTCAGGGGCAGCTCTGGAGTAGAGATATTTCCAGGAAAATAAAGTTTGAAGGACATGCATTTCAAACCCAGGCCTTGGGAATGCCTTTAACTCCTCAAGCAGGTTTTAGATTCATATTTAGATACAGGAGCGTTTTCAATATCATGTTGATACAATCAGCTAGCAAACAATGACTTTTCTTTTGAATTTCCCATGGGAGAGTCTTGATTTAGAGGCCATTTTTAGCTTCTTTGGTCCATGCCTGGTTACCCTGTCCTGTCTGGCTTGGGCTGCTGCTGCTTCACCCCAGCCTGGCACAGCTCCTGAGCAGCACCTGCAGTGCAGGGCTCACCCAGGAGCCCTCAAAAGGAGAAGGGCTGGGGAGAGGCAGTGCTGGGGATGAAGCTGGAGAAGTTTTGCAGAGCTCTGAGGAGAAGCAAACTCTGATGTGAGGTTAGAACTGGCTGTAGTGTATTTACCTCCTATCAGTCCTGCCAGCCTTTCCTGCAATAGAAAAGCCCTAAGATCAATAGATCACAAAATGAGAGTGGATATAAAGGGCACTGCTAAAATCTGAGATCCCTGCTGTTAACAAAACATGGGATAAAATTCCTGGGTGGGGTGAGCATGCTCCCAGTGTGCTCTCAGAGAAGGCAAATACCAAATTCATTGGTGCACTACAAACTTCTGACCTAGACCACTCTTTTTTTCTTTCCTGGACCCAAATCTGGACTCCAGTGTAACAGGAGCTCCCAAGCAAGTCACACCAATCAGGCATCCAGTAGAATTTGTTATTAGTGTTGATCTGTTCCCAAATACAGATACTGCTGAGAAATGCTGAAAACCTTCACTGAGAAATGTAGAGCCTGGGCTGTCAGGGCAGGGGAAGCTGAGCTTGTAGGTGTAGGTACATTTAAGGAAAGGTGAAGTGGCATCTCCTGTTCTGTCAGAGCCTCATGGCAATCCACAGAGAGGAATCTCTGCCAGCATTCAGTGGCACGTGCTGGGACTTCTATTACAAAGCTCTGATCTCAAACACAGGGTGGAGGTGAGGAGGGCTGTTTGCAGCTCTCTGTGTCATCAGCACCTTGCTCTGAACAGAAGGTGAAGCCCTTTTGGCATCTCCCAGTGATTCCATCAGGGGCTCAGGTGCAGTAGCAAATGCACAGTGCAGGTCCTGCAGCATCCCCTGGCATCACAGCCTCCTGGAAATCTCCCTGAGTGCTGGGTGGGTGTTTCTGCAGGCTAACACATCAGGAGAGCAGAGCTCTCTTTTCTCACAGCAAGTCATTTTGAAATATTTGATACCATATCTCACCTGGGCTCCTCTTTTATATTATACCACAAAGTGTGTTATGGTGGAATAATCTAAAAGGGAAAATTTTGCCATTACACGGTACAATTCTTTTTAAGAAAAAATGAAAAAAACTCCACCAAACTGAAACTTCAAAAGCTTAAGTGAGAAGGGGGGAAAAACAACCAAAAAGAGATCAATTTTCTTCAGTTTAAAAACCATATCCCCAAAGTAAGTGGCAGCCAGTGGCAGCCCTGCCCTCTAGTGCTGTTCCAAGTGAGGTGTTGGTGCACGGTTCTCAGCCCAAGCCTGGGCTCACCTGGGTATTCTTTAAGGCAGATTAGAGTGGGAATTTCTGTGCGTTTTATTGGGTTTTATTTTGTACTTCATGTGGTTGGTTGACTTTTTAGGTTTATAGTATTTTCATAGGATTTCACTGCAAGACAACCAAAATCAGCCTCAGACTTTGATGGATGACAGGCTCTATAAAATCCCTGAAGTACTTTGTGCATCTAAGATAACAATTATGGTAAAAAATTCAGTCAGCTGCAAAAGAGAACAAGTGTTTCTGTGATTCCTGACTAACTGGTGCTTCCCTCCACAGCATTGAGGGCGAGTACGTTCCCGTGGCAGGCGACGAGGTCACCTACAAGATGTGCACCATCCCTCCCAAGAACGAGAAGCTGCAGGCAGTGGAGGTGGTGATCACTCACCTGGCCCCTGGCACCAAGCACGAGACGTGGTCAGGGCACGTCATCAGCTCCTGAGGTGTCCCTGGAGCGTGGCTGGGCTCTGCTCAACCACTGCCTGCAGGACCTGGCTGAAGAATACTGTGTGTGAGGAAATACTGCATTGTCAATAAAGCAGAAGCAGGCCCAAATTACCATTTTTTACAGCTGGCCTGATTTAAAAAAAAAAAAAAAGGCAACTCAAATGCTAATGAAAAAATATCTAGCGTAATGTGTTTACAAGAAACGTATTTAAAGAGACCTAGTTTGTGTGCTTGGTGGAGGAGGGGAGGTTTGGGTTTTCTTTTGTCTTGTGAACTGATTCCAGGAAATGCCCAGGGGAGGGGGGAGAGGTTTCAAGGAGAGCTCTTCTAGTGCAGATGGTCCAGCACAGCCCTGAGCCCTGGGTGCTGGGTGAGCCCTGGGCTGCTCTCCCAGGCTGCAGTACCTTTACTGCTGATAACAGTGCCTGAACGCCTTGGCCTGACTGACAGAGGTGTTCATTGCTGATTAGTTTTCCTCATGGAAGGAAGTTCACAAACAGAGCAGCTGCCACAGGGTGGAAAATCTCCATCAGGTGGTTGTGCTCCAGTGCCCATCAGCTGCAGCACTGCAAATGGTGTGGCTGCATGGTGTGGAAACTTGTACTGGTAAAGCTGGGGTTGTTTGTGAATTTACTTAGGTGCCTTGATGGTTGATTAGCAACAGATTTTATAGGCCAGTATTAAAAAAAAAAAATCCATCCCAAATTTAAATTTGCTTCGAGGTAAGTGATAGAAAACCATAGAGTAGTGGATACTTCATACCTTGAATGTGTCTGAATTTTGACCAGGCTGAAGATTTGCCTTCTGGACTGCATCCAGCTGACTGCTGTGGTGTGCAGGGGGCAGGCAGGACACCTGCACTTCTGCACAGCAGCGTGTGCTGCCCAGCTGCCTGTGTGTTAAACACTCTGTGGGTTCCTCAGCAGGCTCAGCTGTCCTGGTGGAGTCCATTCTGCATCTGTTTCCCTGGCAAACTCGCTTGGTAGATGTGACAGGGCCAACCTTCCCCAGACTCTTCACGTAATTGTCGTGCTACTAAATTGGTTTTGTTCCTATTTGCCTTCCACATATTTTTTTTTTCAAATGAAGCATTTTTCTCTGTTATTTTCCTAACAGTGGATTTGTATTGACTTTGCAAATAAAAAAGAAAAAAAAAGGCACAACTCTTGTTAGTTGTATAAAAGAGTGTAGCTTCAGCTGTGTATTTGGAGCTTCACCAAGAGGTGCTGGCTGTCCTGAGCCTTTCACAGCAGCTGATCTGCTCCCAGGTGTGGGGTGGGGTCAGGAACTGCTGTGCTGGCTTGTTTTCCCTTAGCTGTCTGTTTTACACCATGCTGTAGTGGGGGTTTGGTTTGGTTTGGTTTTTCATGACCCATAAGCCTTGGTAGTGGTGGGTTTATCACCGTGCAGCTTGTTGGAATATCACCCCCTGCTTTCTTTACAATAAATGCAACTATTTCAGTGCTTGAATGTGTTTCCAGTCTGCTCCCTGGGTACCTGGTGCTGAAGAGGATCAGCTTTAAAGGGGACAAGACCTGCACATGCACCCCTGTGTGGTGACTTCAGTTTAATTTAAGGAAATGTTTTCACAGAAACAATTAGGAAATAGCAAGGCCAGCAAACGTCAGAGGAGGCTCCCAGGACACAGCAGCCAGAAACGTTGTGTTTGGGGCTGAAAACAATGAAAGCAGCAGCTCTTAAATAGTCTGTCCTTAAAGAGCATTCCTACACTAGGGAAGGTCCTGGTCCCAGGGCAGCTCCCACTAGAACAGGAATTAGCTGGGGAAGTGAGCTGGGAAACAAAACAGTTTTGGTGCAAGAGGTGCAGTGCACTCCCCCTCTGTTTTTGTAAGCCCTTTTGGGGATTTCAGGTGGTACAAAAAGGTTCTGTTCTCTGCTTTTTTACTGCAAATATCCCATAAACCTGAAAAGATTCAAATCACTCATTTCTTTGTACAGACAGGCAGCGTGCAACAGGTCTGCTTCAAGTATTTTATTTTCCATAATGACAAATCAAAACAATATTTTTCGTGATAAAATCAGATTTTATTCTCCTTTACTAAATCAAACCGTTTATACTCGAGATTACTTTCCTAATGCCAGATGAGAAAAGTAATACTCATAGTTACACAGAGTGTCAGGCAGGGGCTTGAATTTTAATAGAAACATAATTTAGGTCATTTTTGTAGTATGAAAAATCTCACCTACCATTAATGCCTTAACCAGGACTCTCAGAAAATTATCAGAAAGTGACAGAAATATATTTTACCAATGTGCTGAAGTTAATTTGTAAAAATTAATTAAAATATTTTTTTAGATTTGGTCTGCACAGAGTGTAGGTACCATGACCTGACTTGTGCCTTGGCACCACATCCATCCTGAGGAGGGAACTTTGGCACCAGCTGGTCCAGCATTCCCAGGGATGGCAGACAGGGACTTCTGGTTCAGTGCCATCCTCCCAACCCCAGAAAGAAATAAACCTTTCCCTTTTACTCATCTTTCAGTTTTAGACAAGAAACTGTCTTACAATTCATGTTAATTCATATAGGTAAGGTAAGGTAAGTATTTAAAAAAAACCCAACTGCATCTTTTAAACAGCTGCCTTAACATAAACTAGGGATTAAGCCTTGCAGGCCAATTTTGAGACCATGAATCAACTAGAGGCAGATTATGCCTCCCCTTCACTCCCTAAACTGTAATTAATTAGTTAAGGAAGTTTACAGGTATCTTAAAAACCAACCCAAAATTTAACCCAACCCAAACCCCACAATCAAGCAAAAAGAAAACAATTTATATGATTGGAAACTGAGAGGATGGTGCTAAATCAGCTCTGCTAAATGAGCTCTGCTGTGTTCCCCCACTCAGCAAGGGGTCTTCAATTAAAACATTTCCCTTTAGTAATGACTGACCTGCAAAGCACCTGCTATTCATGACCAATTACAAAAACCAATACAGAATGAAGATGATGTTTCAAGTTATTTTGCTGTTCTAACTGTCCTGGAAGTGTGAATTCTGGAAGTCTTTTATTTAAAAAATAGCTCTTCACAGATTCTTCTTGTATCCTGTGGGGATGTGACACTGTAGCCTTCTGTTCTGGAGTCTGTGAAAATTTCATAGTCATTCCCTCCCTGGAAGCAGAAGAGGATTTAATTTTATTTAACATAAAACACAGTCACAAAAAGGGACACATGAAAGGAAACAGGGAAAGAATGGACTTTTTCCAAGGGCCTGCAGTGATTAGGCTCAGTAAACAACAGCACTGCCCCTGTATGAGCACAGATGCCCAAAATCCATCCATAGCTTCATTCCCAAATTTCTGTTTGCCACACTGTTTCCACGGGGTCAGCATCAGCTCTCCATACTTCAACTCTCTGCAAATGCTGCACTGCCACTTAGAGGGTTTAAAATGAACTGTCTGTGAGCTCTGTGCCAGAGGGACAGGTGATTACTTTTGCAGCTGATGTCAGGGGAAAAAAACTTTAATTTCAAGCTTGTCTTTTTCTTATAAAGCTTTATCTTTTAAAATTTATAAAGTTCTGTGGAATTTAAGAGTTTTATAACTGTGAGTTCTTATCAAACCAAGCCTTTCCTTATAAAACTTAGCCTGACACTGTCCCTTGGCCATATCCAGACAGCTTTAATTTCAAGCAAGTCCTTGTTCTTGCCAGTGCCCTCACAAGCTCCTGTCAGGTCTCTGTTCAGGATTTTTAAAAGCCTCTGAATTGCCCTGCAGAGCTCTGCCCCATGATGAGGGACAAGGGACTCTGTTCAGTTCCCCAAAGTGGAGACAGAGTAGTGGGCAGAGGCACAGTGATAAATAAAACAGGAAATAAATATGTTTAATAAACACCAGCCAACAAAAATCAATCTACACTGACCAAGCTGGACAATCAGTTTCACACAGCCATGTCACCTAGGTGTTTAACACAATTACAAAAGTTCAATTTTAAAACAACCTCTGTTAAAGCAAGAACCCTGTGTTCAATTCAGGAAAAAAGGAAAACCTCCCATCTGCAGCCAGGTAAACACAGACACATGTTTATACCCTGACTTCAGCTCTTGTCAGGATCAAGGTTACAAGGTTAGAACCTGCACTCCTTGAGGTTTAATTACAGCAGCTCTCAAATTAGTATATCAAACTAATGTACTCACTGGCATGGTCTTGTCTCCAAAGAAATAAATAGTCTTGTATCCATCCTTGGCAACAATTCCTAAGCAGTACCTTTTGTCCCAGCCATCTGGGAACACATCGATGCTTATCTGCCCTCCTAGGAGAGAGAGGAACCAAGACTTGTGTCATTTTAACAATGTATTTCTGAAGGGAGAGGAAGAGAAAAAAATACCTAAACTGGGTAAGATTTTAGACAGAGGGAGCTTTGCAGAAGACACAGAAATGTTGTGAGATACTGGAGTTAAGTCCTGCAAGTAGAGAAAGTGTTTTATAGGGTATCAGTTATTAAAGATGTGATCCAGATATTATTTATCCATTCATGCTCATCCGTGTCTGAGCACGTTCCCAAATACTCACTGCTATCCTAATGAACCTTTTACAAGAATTACATTTGACCTCTTTACTTTTAGAAAGGAAGGACACATGAACACAGCCACTGATATATTTACAGCCATAAAATTGTAGGCAAAAGATTTTCCAAGGCTTTCAGAGTAGGAAAAGGGAGAAATCAGCCCTTTCAGCACACCCTAACAGGACAAGAGCTGTTCCAGTTCTGAGCCCCTGGCCCTCACCAGTACTAAGAGCATGATTCCCAGCTGAAGCAGGTGTATTTACAACATAAATATCTTACAAAAGGTATTTACAACATAAAGGAGAGAGGAGAACTGCACTGCAGATCACTTCTGCCTTAGTGCTTCAGCACTAATGCCAACCATACTTTGCAATTCTGAAAAATAATAAAAGGCAGGAGTGTGGTAATGCATTAGGAGAGAAGGTAAAATAAAAATGCATCAAAACTTAATTCCCCCTTATGATAATTTTTTTTTCCTTAAGCTTGCATTGCTTTTGGATTCTTTCCTTCCTCCCACACAATGCAGGTACAGCGAAGAACCAAGGGCAACTGGAACAGCACTGAGGGAGTAGCTCTGATCAAAACTGATTCACAGAAACAACTCTGACTAATCTGAAGCATCTAATATGCTCCAAAATGAGCAGAATCAGTCACACAACTGACATTAAAAGACAATGAACTGATGACAAGAAATGAAGTTCTCTTTGTTGATGGATTTCAATTAAAATGTCCCAATAAAAGCCTGAGAGGAAAAAGAGGCTCAGTCTTGCCTGCAACCACCCCCAGAGAAACCTGTCACACAAATGACATGGGATGTCACAGCCATAAGAGAGTATGACTTAAATGAAATTTAAATTAATTGATGTTTTAAATGGCAAAAGTCTTACCTATTGAAAACGTGAGGCCTTTGCCTGCAAATTCTCTTTGTAGATCAGCTACAAATTTCTCTCTTATATGCTCCTTCTGTTAAGGGAAAAAAAAAACCCAAAACCCAACAACAGTTATATGCTGTAACTGTGCTGATTTACCAATGAAAAGATAACCCAAAAACACCTCTAAAAAAGAATGGTTTTATTGATTTGAATGGACCCAGGCTGGTTAAACTACACAGGACACTGAGAAAGTATGGTTTTACCTAAGAGAGGGTTTTTTAGACACCCCATTTATAGAAGCAGGATGTTCAGTAGTCTGGGTATTGCATTAAAAACATGAGCCAAACCCACCTTTCTGCAAGTAATCCTTGCTATTCCAACCAAAAAATCCCTCACTGTCTACTTTCTGAGGTCTGAATGAGGACATTACTTAAAAAAAACGAAAACAATTAAAATTTAAACAAAAATTGCACAAATTATAGAAGTTTTTAAAAGTGCCTCCTCCAGGAGAGCTGGGTATTTTTCAGGAGTTGTAACTCACTTTATCAAGTTCATAGAACTCAAGTCGTTCTTCCTGGCTGCAGCTCCTTCCAATGGGAGACACATTTAACATCCCATTTCTGAACTCAATGAAAGTGCCTCTGCAAGG